ACGTTTTCTATTTACATCTGAAATATCTTGTTGCTAAACTGCTGAGCTAAAGAAAGAATACGCCCATGTTTGTTGGTGGCTAAAATGAAACAAACAAGAAATGATTATTCGATAGTGATGTATTTCATTCGAGTATATTGATATACATGTATGTACTTCTAAAAATCATAATAAGAAAAACTCGCTTTTTCTTTAAAGATGAACTCTCTTTTTCATAGAAGATTTAAAGTGTTTAATGGACAAGACCCAAAGATGAACCCCACTGCCCTTTCTTTTTAAAAATGTTTAAAATAATTTTTTTTATGCCTTGCGATGTTTTTATTCTTTACACAAACTGTGGTGAAGTGCTGATATAAAGTTTGAAAGGGAAACAAATTGCTACTTCATTTTTAACCCCATAACGGACTGCAAGTGATTAGCGGTGTGCTCAGAAGAACGATCAGCAGTCTTTGGATACGTACAGTCAATGTAATTTTATTATGAACTTTCAATTATCTGACCCGAATTTTGTTTCTGTATGTACGAAATTCTATATCAAAATCCATCAACTATCATGATTTAAGGGAATTTTTGTGTCATATGTTCTGTATCATACATTTGAATGTTTTAAACGTATTAAAAAAACATTGTAAAATTTAGTTTTTTACCTATTATTATTTATTGAGAAAAGTAATAACGTCGTGAGGAGTTTGTAAAGAAGGTGAAACTAATACTTGAAGTTGACATCTACTAATTATTAGATAATAGATACGGGTCCAAAAAACTGTAGCAGACTAAACTGACAACCGACTGGTCAGTCTGTCCATCTGGAGTGAGTCCTACATCACTCTGAGTAAGGTGGTAGGTCAAGGTTGTCAGCCTTCCCTTCCTCAGATCAGTATGTATATATTTCATAAGCTAACCGACTGAGGCAGCAGATGAGCCATAGCCAGCAGTGTCCGACAGCGGACAGAACCTACAGCCTGATGCTCCTTAAATCTCTATGTACTTTCTAATACAGACGACTTAGTCCACTTAGTCCGGCTACAATATTACTGGATACAAGACCACGAGCCAGCGGTTTTGTCGAGCCCTGTATAGGGTGTATATTTTACATTTTCCAAAGACATCTGACACCAAACCATTTAATAAAAGTCTGTGAATAGACCTATGTCACTATCTGGCTACAACAACATTTACATTGTTATCGTACAATAGGAGTTCTTAAATATTATAAAAATGCATGATTTATTTCGTTTTAAGCAACACAAAAGGATATTGACATGTATATACATAAAGGGTCCTGTCGACAAATTCATGCTTGGGCGCCCCTTCACAGCGAAATATATCAACCATAATTATAACATTATGTTTGTTTGAAGTTACCGCTATCAATGTTACAGCTACGTTACCATTATGATCAAGATCAGCGTGCACATTTCATTCGACATCTTGTATTAGTGAATTTCTTTTATAGTTGTCGCCCACGTTTCTAAACAAACGAAACAGCTCATATTTTACACTATAGTTTTATCATCACTGTTATCGATGCGTGAAGTTACACTCTTCATTATAACGAGGTTTCGTTAAACATTATCTAGAACTCCCCTTCACTGGTAAATACATCAACCACAATTCTAACATAAAGTATATGTTTGCGGCATTAGTCACCACTACGTAAACTGCAAGAAGACTCCACCCCCCACATGATCTAGAACTGCGTTTTGCCCTTCGAAGCATTACCATATTAGTAAAAATGTCATGTACACTTTGTATAATTAGACCTCATTAATACAAACATTTAAGGCACAATCTATAGTTTCAAAACAACGGTATACTAAACTGCCAGGCAAAAGAAAATAAACACCCATATTTGATAATGGCTAATACTGATACTAACAAGAAATTGTTATTCGATGGTGATGTATTTGATATGGTGTTTGATATCGTAGTTGTGTTTTGATCTTAAGTTTGCAGTGTTTCGGCGACAGTTTCAACGAAGTAACGTTTGATAACGTTGTATTTTTAGTAAAATCTAATTTTCAGTGTGTATTCCTTTTTTTGCCCCGGCAGTTCAGTACTTAATCTGCACTAAATATGCAAATGCTGTAACGCCCCGGAGTAATAGTGTCCATATTGTCGAGGTTTCGTTGTAGCTAGTTCCATTCCTACCTGTGTGTATCCGAATGTGCCCAAGTAGTTGGCCTCTGTTACTGCAACTAATTACACAATACGGGCACTTGAATATCTTCACCTTGGATTTGAACCGACCCCCGCACTTGAGACCATCTGGGGACATTCCCCGGGGGCTATCCTCTAGGGAGGGGGAACTATCCTCACCCCTGCTGTCATACAAAGCCGACACAAAATGGCGTGGACTGCCGGACATACTGAGGTCTTGGGGTCTCTCTGACCTCCAAGGCCACGTTGGCCCCCTGGACACATGATGCGGTTCTCGTTCCGATACAGCAGCCTCCCCGAATCTCGGCGACGTTTTCACATAGTCTCGTTCATGAATAGGGTCCCGCACTCTATGGTCAAGTATAGAACTGAACACGGAACAACACGACGGCCTATTCGGTTTCTCCCAACACTGCACTGAGAGTGTCAAATCTGTGGGTTCGAATCTGGGTGGCTTCGGATCAAAATCGTTAACTCTGCTAGAGTCTCTTATCAAAACCCTCGGAGAAAATATTTTCGGAAATCGAACAGCTGGTACCACCTCCATCATATCTTGGACTAAAATTGATGAGACAAGTGAGTCATTTCTTCATTTCGTGCAAATGCCTTCCAAATGTAATCACGTGGTAGGGCGGATATGTACCGATTTCTTTACATATGTTTTCAAACCCCATCTTCACCAACATAACGTTAGAAATATCGGACAATGGCCACGGCGACCCTCCACTTCCCATAAGACCGCATGTTTGCAGAAGAGGGTTCGGCGTGTTCCTCTTCAAATAACCGTCCTTTGAGACCGTTCATATCAAGTCCTTTACCAGCGCAATTGCAGCTCTCATTCAAACCTTAAATAGTATGCAATGAATTAACCAGAATCGCGCCCACTATTATCCCTATTTGACGACCCCAACCGACAGTCGTATTTCCGTCCCTATTTTTGTTTATCTCCGTGTGAATACATGTGTCCATCACGATGGCACCTACACTCTGATTGGACAAACGAGCGAGGTAAATATATATCAATGTATACCGCTCAATGCGCGCTCATAAATCTTATACCTTCACGGATGAGAGGCTTGGGAAAAGGGCGTTTCGCTCAGTTAGATAAAAAAAACAACTGTTGTACTCACTCTTACTAAACGTTAGACCCGTCAAAAATATCCGGGTATTCAGTCTCGTGGTGGGGTACGTGTAGAGGAGACGCTCTTGTTGTCATTGTACACTATAGTACATGATAATATTGAGTTACTTTTTACAAAACCGAGTCATTCGAGCTGCCACGTATTTGCATACACTTGGGTGTATGCTTATTCAACGGGCTTGCAGCAATGTCGCATTGTCTATATTCACGTTGAGATTGACACAGGATTATGTTTTTTGGAAAGCTCAGACGTATACATGACGTAGCATCGATATGATGCAACACTAATGCACAAAGACATATTACGATGTTGCACTCGGGCTTCCTCTCAAGGGGAACATATACCTATTACAGGGATATTCCTCCTACCCCATGAAACTTGATCATCGTGTGAAATAACCTCCCACGATATGGCTTCAATGCGACGTAGATGTATATTCATGTTGGGGGCAATGTTGGCCCTGCCGACTTAGGCGCTGCCGTTCGCTGTGAAAAGTAGCAGCCCTCAAGTGTGCCAGAAAGTTGTGATCGAAGGTTCGAATCCCTTTTGCGCCCTGATTTTGTTTCTAGGTTTTTCAGTACCACATCTGTGCTCATAGGTTTCACCAAAGTGTTAAACGTCCAAGAATTCTTTCCTCCCACATAAAACTGACATGCTGTGATTTTAGTATTTGTTGTAATATGAGGACGGTCTGTATATAATCGATTCTGGACCAGACAATCCAGTGATTGACATCCTGAGCATCGATCTACGCAACTGGGATACGATGACATGCATCAACCAAGTCAGCGAGCCTGACCACCCGATCCCGTTAGTCGCCTCTTACGACAGAGTGTCGCCTCTTACAATAAGGATGGGTTGCTTAAGACCAATTCTAACCCGAAGGGAAATCCTGTTCAAAGCGGCGTTAAATCACTCAATTGTCGTGTTACTCAGTCTTTTGTCACAGCACGGAAAGTAAATCGGTGGTTTTAGAAACTGAATCTACGATAACAGTGAAACCTCGTTAATCCGGATCCGTTCATCCGGCAACTCCATCTTCCACACTATTACTGCTTAGAACACTTAAAATGAAACAAAGTGGCAATACTCCGTACCCAGGATTTCTTAATCAGGATTCTTTTTTAATCCGGACAAATTCAGTGGGAACACTGCCGCCCGGGATATCGGGGTTTCATTGGATAGTTATGTAAATTATGGTAAATTCCGTATCTCTGTAAATGCACATTGTAAATTGATATCTCTTCTTTTCGCAATGCTACGATATCAATATGCTGCTATTGTTATACTTAACCACTTATGAATGAAAAGTCATTTACAAATATTTGTTGTTGAAGAATATAGGATTACTTTTTTTCTATTTCTGTGACATATTGTTGGCTAAAAATGTGGTTGGCTCAGCCCAGACCGACAAAAGGACAGTCTCGGCAAGCCTATTGGAAGGTGTATACGATCTGTATCTCCAGTTCATAGCACTGAAAGCGCACGACGCATTTAATTAAAAAAATTACACATATTGGTACCTTGTCAGTGTCAACATCATTATTCGCGTTGCTACAATGTGACACCCTGGTTACGTGCAATGGGAACGGTAGTGCTTTGAGGTCAAGTGTGTGAATCACATAGTTGTCATGGCAACACTAAAGGTGTAGATTTCATACAGCCCTGGCGGCTATACAATTATTACCAAAACGTGAATTTTCTTTGATTTTATTAAACGAGACACAGATTTACAGTTGTTCGAAATTGTGTTAAAAACAAAACACAAGGAAAAGTAGCGACATTTAAGTACATTAGCACGATTTAAGTCATTTGAAGCAGTGGCGGAAGCTCTCGAACTTAATTTGAAATAGGTATTGACACGTCTGGTTTGTTTGATCCATCACTAGTTGTTTATGCAGGTCAATAGATGAATATTGTATCCCAGACTATGGCTAAATCGTAGGCACCCGCAACCTTATGTTAAAATATGAATGGAAAAACAAATGATATAGCTCCGTCTATTCCCTACATGATAAAGCATAGTTATTCTCTGATTTTAGATGGCTTAAATTTGATTGAACTTAAAAAGAACCCTTTTCGATCTTATATATTTGTTCAAATATATTACAAATAGGCATCAGGATATAAAGTAAACTCCGGATGTGACGAAGTCTGATATACCGAATAGTTGTTATTACGAACTGGATACTTGTACCGTGGTGGTGGTAATGAACGTAATTGTTCATGTGAGTAACAAAATGCAGATGGGAGACAGACGTTGAGGGTCCCTTTGAGTTCGTCACATCCGGAGTTGAGTGCATATATATTAGAACACAGGAAGAGGGTCTTTTGTCAATGGAAGAGCTCCTTTATCTACACACGCAGTGTCCTCCTAGAGCATGTTAAATCCTTCCTTGTCCCAGGTGCCCATGTCAAATCGGCTGCGAGACATGATATTCATCCAGTTGGTCACAGGTTTGGGGGCTGCGAGGGTTCCTTGCATGGGAGATTTGCCGGCTGTTGACCGAGGTCTGAAATAATAACAGAAATGTATAGCGACATTCGCTGACATCCAAGCATCCACCCCACATATGCAGTGAAACCTCGTTAATGTGGACAATACCTTAGCGAAGAAGTGCACAAACAGATGTGTTCGGGGTTAGAATCCAGTAACGTGCATGTAATTCGTTAAATACATTGACGGTTCCGCTCCGTCAACTGAACCTCGATATACGGGGCACCGACTTGTTACATTACTTTTCGAAATCAGTGTGAGACTGAATGTTTTTAAACAAAAGTTTCACGGCGACCACAGACAACAGCTGTTGATAGCAAGGTCAACGATCCACGCAGACCGGGTACGAAAAAACACAATGACAATCTATCCGAATACACGTTGTAACCGCCCAATCTTCAGTTTATTACTTTGTCCGACATGCATGAGATAATTGGGGTAAGCGATATGATGTGGGATCACTGTATAGAGATTTTATATGTATGTATGTATGTGTGTGTGTGTGTGTGTGTGTGTGTGTGTGTGTGTGTGTGTGTGTGTGTGTGTGTGTATTTTTCTAACATACGCACACACTTTTATGTGATTTCATTTCAAAGCAAAGGATTTGTTATATCGCGACACAGCCTTTCGCAACAGTTATATGAGACCCGTTCTTCAAGTCGTTTGGACCGGTTTCTGCTAATTTTGTCAATCATTTGTACAAGCACTACGTTACCAACATGTAAATAAAAATGTGTGAAAATATGTACACGGTGATGGTCAATGCGCATGCGTACGTCTAAGATAAACATACGCTCTTCACGACAACGTCACGTGTGTTTACATACCCAGATACGCCCGTATCTACACACAGCTGGTTGGAAACGCTCTTCACGACAACGTCACATGTGTTTACATACCCAGATACACCCGTATCTACACACAGGTGGTTGGAGACGCTCTTCACGACAACGTCACGTGTGTTTACATACCCAGATACACCCGTATCTACACACAGCTGGTTGGAGACGCTCTTCACGACAACGTCACATGTGTTTACATACCCAGATACACCCGTATCTACACACAGCTGGTTGGAGACGCTCTTCACGACAACGTCACATGTGTTTACATACCCAGATACACCCGTATCTACACACAGCTGGTTGGAAACGCTCTTCAAGACAACGTCACATGTGTTTACATACCCAGATACACCCGTATCTACACACAGCTGGTTGGAGACGCTCTTCAAGACAACGTCACATGTGTTTACATACCCAGATACACCCGTATCTACACACAGCTGGTTGGAGACGCTCTTCAAGACAACGTCACATGTGTTTACATACCCAGATACACCCGTATCTACACACAGCTGGTTGGAGACGCTCTTCAAGACAACGTCACATGTGTTAACATACCCAGATACACCCGTATCTACACACAGGTGGTTGGAGACGCTCTTCAAGACAACGTCACATGTGTTTACATACCCAGATACACCCGTATCTACACACAGGTGGTTGGAGACGCTCTTCACGACAACGTCACATGTGTTTACATACCCAGATACACCCGTATCTACACACAGGTGGTTGGAGACGCTCTTCAAGACAACGTCACATGTGTTTACATACCCAGATACACCAGTATCTACACACAGGTGGTTGGAGACGCTCTTCACGACAACGTCACATGTGTTTACATACCCAGATACACCCGTATCTACACACAGGTGGTTGGAGACGCTCTTCAAGACAACGTCACATGTGTTTACATACCCAGATACACCCGTATCTACACACAGGTGGTTGGAGACGCTCTTCAAGACAACGTCACATGTGTTTACATACCCAGATACACCCGTATCTACACACAGCTGGTTGGAGACGAGTGGCAGCGTGGTAGCTTACTCAGTAATACAAAGGACATATTCCGGCACGCGAGATCCCTCGATTCTACCTGTTGCTAACTACGTGACACGCTATTTTTGCAAAATGGCCCCTAAGATACAGCAAACAGCTTGGCTCCCATTCACTGTTAGTAATTAGGTGGTAATCGGGGAATGCAGACATGTTGACATGATATTCGAAAGTGTTGGAGCATGAAAATATATAGGTCACTCGAAGATGAGTTTGACGGTAGCCATTTTAGTGTGCCCGTTGCCTCGTGATCACGTAATGTAATGCGATGTCCTCAGATCTTTGTATAGCGGTAGCGAGAACTAAGATTTGATTTAAATGAGATACGCTTATACACGCACACTCACAAACGTTACACTCGCATTTGTACTCTCAGATGCGCAACTAACGTACCTTAAACTGAGCAGATAACATTTGACATCGACCAACCATCGCATGTTCAACACAACATACCCATATCCCCTGCTAAACACACAGTGATTTGGATTCATATTATGGCAGGATTCAAGAGGCGTAGTAAGCTCTACGGATCGCGGATCCAAAACTCAATATAAAAGGTGGTATAAACATAGATATCATTAAAGCAATAAACATAGTGTCTCTGAACAAATTTCAGTGGTAAATAACACTTTACCTAATAATTCAAGGACTAGTAATTCAAAGATAAGTAATTCAAAGAATAGTAATTCCAACCAGCGGTTCTTTCATTACATAGTTTTATTTATTTTAAGTCCTACCAATAATATTTTCAAGAGATCACTCTGGAAAAAAAGTATTCTGATATTAAAGTAATTACTTTATTTCGACCCATTTATTTTAAAGCAATAGATATATCCGTAGTAGAATGCTTGATCGCTTTCGCATTTTACCGACGTAGAGTCGGTAGTTACGACCTCGCACTTGCTTTCGAAACGTCCCCACAACGATAACCTACCCTGGGTTTGTGATGTCCTTAGTGTTACATTCCTCGACGACGAACGTGCCAGAGCATCCCTTCTCCACCCACCAGTGAGTTGCGTTGAAGTCGTAGTGCCTCCAGTGTTTAATACCATCCTCCTCCTCAAGCTGAAACAAGGAACATTATTGTATTTATATACAGCGAAACCCTTTTGGTCCGGAACATTCGGATTCCGGACAGTTACTGCTGGAACTTCATTGTAAGTACGATGCTGTCTGGTGGTAGATATTGTTGTAAGCTTATTTGTAGTGATTGTCATTGGCATCAAATTAAAATGATGGAAGATCGGCAGCGAGTGAATGAATTTAGAGTTACGTCCCTTGGTTGTTGATAAACAAGGGAAGGTTGATCGTTCGAGAAGTTTCGTGATGTGACACTTTCTGGAAGGCTGGCGGTTCCTTTAATATGAGTGACAAGAAGGCAGTTCGAGCCTTTAAGTCGACGTCACTTGTGTCTTATGTACCTGCCAAGTGCGGAAGGGATCTCTATTTGAAAACACCGACTTCCCGCCAGCTCCCAGCACTATTTCCGTGTTCAAGAACTGAGACATTCGACAGAACCTTCGCGAGTTCACCTACATTAATTCCTTGGCGTGTTACGCTGTTGCTACGTATTTGACCCTTTTTACTGATCTCACAAAGTAGTCCTGCCGTATTGATCATGGGTTAACCTTCGTGTTTCAGTTTGGAAGTCACATCGTAACAACAAAGGGACATTACTCATCATGTCCGAAAATATGATTATCCGGAAGACTTCCTTGGTATCGGTAACATCCATATTAACGGGGGTCCACTCTTGCCTTATTTTGATAAAGGACATGAAGAAAAATGTATGAAATGAAAACCGTACTCAAAGACTGGGGTCACCAATTGGCTTGATGTAACGTCACCAGATAGTGACGTCAGGGAATATACTTCCAGACACATATACCGAACGATGAACTTGACGTCAACACATCTGTGGGCCCTATAGAAACTGACACTATCTAAGCAGAACGCAACCATTGCTGCCAGTCGTTAAAAGAGAGGAAATACGTCATTTCGAAATGCATTTGAGCAAGCTATTAACTCTTTTATTAACTCGTGTTTTACATTTGTTGGTAAACAAACAAAAAGCAAGGCTTTCTACAGCTGTTTCTTCACGCAAACTGTGGTCATTTGAATTTTAAACTTGATTTGAAGCACTTTCGCATTGCTTGGTCCACAGTTATTTTGAAACAACTGCAACCTTGCTGGGTCCTATGCTTTGGGGTATACACCGAAGCCTATTCTTTCGGCAACAATGCCTATTTGTGGTCAGTTCTTACAGTGTGTGAGTGGGTTAGGTTTCAATCCGCTATGAACAGTATTTCAGTTATATCACGGCCTGCCAGCTGAAGTGATGGAGGGCTTATACGTTTACCACTTGGGGAAACCCACGAATAAGGGTATCGTGATGACAACCCCATTCTTACAATATGACTAACGAAAATGATTTGAATTGTTCTCTTAGTCTAACCATCTACCCCTTAATAATAAGTCAACGTCCATGAAATAAACATATTTACTCACGCTAAAGTCGCACCAGTAGACAGTGTTGGGGTCTCTCCAGATGTTGTGGACGGAGATAATCTCAAAGTTAATGTTTTTTCTCAGAAACATCTTAGGTTTGTTGTTTGGCCTTGTGGTGACATTCTGGTTGTACTGGTTACATAGTCCTGTGGAAAACAGCAACGTATACACATGGTCGAGTGGAGACTGCAATATGACTCAGTCTGTATTCTGTGAATATAGTTCTGTGGAAAACAGCACAGTATACAATTGGTCGAGTGGAGACTGTTATATGACAGTATTCTTCGAATATAGTCCTTCGGAAAACAGTATTTTATACAAATGGTCGAGCGAAGACTGTAATATGACTGTATTCTGTGAATATAGTCCTGTGGAAAACAGTATTTTATACAAATGGTCGAGTGGAAACTGTAATCTGCCTGCTCTCTGTGCATAGTTCTGTTGAAAACAGTAATTATTTTATACAATGGTCGAGGGCACAGATATTGAAGTCGAATCCGAATTAATAATATACATATGTGCTATTAACCTAACAATAAAACATCAACAACATTGGATGACTGCTGGTAGCTTGTCAGAGAGACCCGACGCCGTTTATATTTGCTCACAATATCAATCACTGTCTGACCCTGGTTCGATTATTTACAAGCCGCCGTCATATAGCTGGAATATGGATGAGTGCGGCGTAAAACAACAATCAGGAAACGCTGTAGTAAATATGTGCTTGTTTGTTTGTTGTTTAACGCCACACTCAGCAATATTCAAGCAATATGACGGCGGTCTGTAAAGTCTGGACCAGACAATCCAGTAATTGACATCATGAGCATCGATCCAAGCGATTTGGAAAGGATGACATGCATCAACTAAGTCAGCGAGCCTGACCACCCATTAGTCGCCTCTTACGACAAGCATAGTCTCCTTTCACGGCAAGCATGGGTAGCTAAAGACCTATTCTACCCCGGATCTTCACGGGTCTACAGTAAATAACATTGCCAGAACCAAGATGCCCCGACGTCGAGCGGCGTTAAACAAACAAACATATTGGTTCTGTCATTGACGATGACGTGTACTCTTACCTGAGCTGGCATCTTCGTCATCATCAGCCGCGGCGACGGTGACGAGGAGAACAGCGGCTGTGACAGCCAGAGTAAGGTAGAACATCTTCATCCACGTCATCGTTGTCGGTGGCTAGTTTGGAAATGAGGTTAAGTAAGACTCGGCGTTAAGAGACTACACATAACAGTATATTTCGGTTCTAAAATGGCTCTCTATATATGTGTTACACAATGTCTTACAAACCAAATGCCCTTGGCTGCGGCGCTAAACAGTAGTAGCTTGCACACTCACAAATATCTTTAACTCGACACTTGGTCGCCTGAACCTTTTCTACGTCACAAACTGCCCATCCTCGTTGATCATGTGTATGATATCTCCTTTCTTTTATGATTATCATCCTTGACCCATTCGCTGCCATAGCTTTGGTTTGGGAGTGTGGTTCCTTCTCCCCGTCTCTAACTGAGCAAAACAGTTCGCTAGCTTTTGAGAGTAATATTATTGTTCGGTTAATTTAAGCACCTTTCTATTCGAATCGGGCTGCGGTAGTGAAAGGGTACGTGGTGTCTATCACAATAGAATGAAGATATATAACACTGTCATTTGAGACTATATCAGAGTATATATACATATCGGTAACAGAACTCAGTTTCTATAATAACCCCATTTTTCAATGTTCAATGTTCAGTAAAAATCGTAGCGTAACATCTTAACATCTTGCAGTGATCAATTTGGAATAAATCTGAAGGTTATATCCGAGATTTGACTACCCATATAAACAATACCGTTGATAACAGCTGTGCGGGCGGGACCTGAGGTCGTCATAAGCGATAATTTCGGTATTTCGTTGCTTATGCATACCTATCACTATTCGAGTATTTCGTAGCAAGAATGAGTCACAATCTATAGTAAGTGAGCGAGTATTGTTTTACTCCGCTTGTAGCAGGATCCCAGAAATATCACGGCTGGAGTCACCAGAAATGGGCTGTTGGGAATAGAACCCGGGTCTTCGGTATGACGAGTAGGCGAGTAGGCTTCTCCCCTCCCCACAACAAACCTCCTACCTCCATTTGTCTTAAAACACTTCATCTGTGGCTGAATAATTTCAAAACAAATTCGTGAGGCATACATAAATCCTCTGGAACACTATCAATGACGACTTTCGGGCACTTATAAATAAGTCTCTTCTTTAATTTGCCATTTCTCATTAATCTGCGCATAATGTTTCATCGAAAGTATCTGCTTGAAAACGTAATGCTAAAGTCCACATGCATGTCAGTGACACAGGTATTCCCACGTGTGTACACGCGTTACATGCCTTGGGCTAAACGCTATGACAGTTTTATCACCTCGAGCAACAACGACTGCATGACTTTAAATAACGGTTTGGGGCGAACATTTAAACATTTTTTTCTATATATTCACATTTTGCCGCAAACAGTAAACATAAAATATCAAAAAGATAATTTGATATAAAAATGATAAAAAGTTTTAACAACACTACACATGCACAAAATTTGTTACGAACGCGTTGGTCGCGGTGGCGAAGAGTGACTTACGAAGACACAAATTCATAATAATGCAGTTATTAAAAAATGGCAGGGCTGTCAATTATACATTTCCCGTGACGCGTATAAATTCCACACATACACACTATAAAACGCCTGAAAAAAATCGGATAAACTGCTTAAAAATATACACTTAATTATAGTTTTAATATACCTGCGTATATCGATAATTGGTTTTCAATATTTAGTTACAGTTAAGTTGTCATAATGAAATGATATAACATGTATAATAAGTTGGCATACAATTGAGACTACTTGAACCTCTATGGAAAAATAAGGCACATAAGGACCTTTTTACTTGATTAAACAATCAAAATTATCTAAAATGTATCAAAATTAGATACATTTAAACAGCTGTTAATAAGCTGGGGATAAAAATTACACGCCTGTATTAATAGTATATGTTGATAATTAATTTCAAAGATAAAATGTACTGAAACTAAAGCTTACCTCCTCGTGTTTGTTTCGAAATATCCGGAAAACGGAGAAATGGAACGAGGGAGAGAGACCAGAGATAGTTATACGCATGCGCTGTATGGGAACCCATCAATCACTGTTACTTCCTGCCTCACCTGGGACAGGCCTGAAAAGCCTTAAGGCATTGTGGGTAATTAAATCTCAACTAGATATTCATCAATGCGTTTAAATCAATAACACCTGAACTGTATTCATTATTCAATGACTTTATATTCTGTACAATCTAAAAATAAATGTAGAAATATTATAAAATAATTTCCCTGCAGTCCATGATGGCATTACTCTATATCTATCAATTTGAACTCATCGGGAAAATTTTCGTTATAGCCTTGAGGGACTATATGGACTATAAGGTAGGGATGTAGATTTAGGATGTAACGAATCGCTACTAATTATACCTATGATGTAACTACTAGGATAGTCGCTGCCTCGTTATAGGGAGTGTCAACTTATATTTACATGGGGTTATTACCGAGACCCACGACATAAGATGTGTTAATAGTTTGAGGTGATAAGCTACACATTTACTTAAAAGCTCGTTTCAGTTTAGGACCAAACCTTTTAAATAGTGCAGGACCGCATCCGTAGTCTAGTGGATAGAGTCTCTGCCCGGAGAATGGAAGTTTGGTGGTTCGATATCCTGGTCGCGTCATGCCAATCAAGTTTAAAGATGGTACTTGTTGTTTCCCTGTCGGTGGCACGGCAATAAGGTGATAAAACAAGGACTGTTCGACACGGTGAGTGAGTGAGTGAGTTAAGATTTAACGTCACATCGGCAGTATTTCAGCCATATCGTGATTGTTCGACACGGAGTCATAGTGTGCCGGAGTAGGGTATTCAGGGTTTACCGTACGAATAGTATCTCGGAGGGTTCGCATAAGTTCGGACTAGCACAAACAGCCACACACACATGTATCACACGCACGACGTTGTGTAAGTGCAATAATTTTGAACTCGACGTTAAGCTATTTTTCACCTCACTTCAACTCTTAATAGTGCCATCTGTGAAACTTAGATATTGTCTCTGCATAATCAGGAGAGGTGAGGTGAGGTGAGGTGAGGTGAGGTGAGGTGAGGTGAGGTTGAAAGTCGCAATCAAGATTAGTGCAACACATGTTATATTTGTGTCGTTAACGGGGTTTCCTTGAGGTGAGGACAAAATTAATGTATAAACAAAAATGGCAGCTGGGCCTTGTTCACATGGTCATGGTGATAAGTCTATTTTTGAGCATTGGAATTACGATGGTCGCAGAGCTGAGGTCATGTAGTCTAATGGGACCCAGGATATCTTGCACAGTTGGGCGTCTGTGTAGTCGAGTGGCTCAGGCGTTCATTCGCTGAAGACCCGGGTTCGAATTTGTAGGTATATAGGGCATACGCTGAACACAAGAGCCAGCCTACAGAACCAAAACATGATGAACACAATCTCAAACTAGTTCTTACATTGCACCCTTTTACAGCAGTATAGGCTAGTGGTGGGTCAGAGCATAGTCGATTTCCAGTGTTACGTAGCCATCTGTGTAGCTCTTCTCACTGACCTAACACAGGATCGCTCTCGCATCATGAGTGCAATTTGACTGGGCGGTTTATTTTAGCGACACAATCCGGTTTTAGATCAAAGCTATAGTAGCGAATTGATCCCAGCTGTGTATTCTAACAGAATTAGGATATAAAACACGGGGTACAAGAGGATGGTTCGAGTCCCTGTTACTGAACTTTGGTCAGCATTATACCTTACAAGCCTCACCAATATGGCAAACTGATTTAAACTGAAACGACATGAAATACTATTCAAGTAATACTGTGTTTGCTTGTTTGGTGTTTAATGCCGGACTCATTTATAAGACGGCGGTCCGTAAATAACCTACTCTGGACCAGGCCATGTATTTATTCTACAGGGAACGATGACACGCTATTAAGTCATCGAATCTTACCACCCGATCCGTGAAGTGGCCTTACGTTCAGCACAGGTTGCTAACCCGGGTCCTATGCGGGCCACGTTATATATGTAACCTCACGCTCCGGTAAACGCCAGTAGCGGCCTCTTGATGGCGTTCCAAGTAATCGCCCCTCATCCACCCGCGACGTTCAATGCCCAGGCCATCACAGCTGCTGTCTCGAAACCGATATCTCAGTGCACTGGAGACCATAGCAAGTCTCCATTTTGTTATTGCGCCGTGCCTTATTTGTTTTCGGTTTGAGAATATTACATGGGGTCATGAGCCATGGGGATTAGTAATCGTTGGAAAGATGTAACCAAACTTTAGAAAAAGAATTTAAGTTCTTACACTAAAAATGATACTGTTACAACAGGGAGCCACGTCCTGTCCTAGACCGGTTTACCTGCCCTATAACGCTTGCGCTCCTCGCCTGCAGCCGCTATGAGGGTACCAGTCCAGCTCTATCCGACCTATTTCCCCATACAACATTGAAACGTTGACCATTTTCCGTCTGTCGAGAGGGAGGGGACAGGCCTACAGCATATCGCCAGATACCATATGGTCTCTGATATCACTCTGCGGGAAACGTTGACCCAGTTTCCGTGTAGCGAGATATTAACTCTTTTGGACAGAGTGAATAATTGACGTGAGAGGCTACAGCAGTAAACATATTACCACTAGGGAGGTAACTCTCATAGAGAAGTATGGTGCATGGTTAAAAATTACAAACGCACTCACAACGTTGTGGGTTTCAATTTTAACAATATCTGCATGTCTCGTCAGGTCTTCTGCATGTTTCAGGAAGGCATTGTTGTGAAACATATTACTAGTTTTGTTTTCATAATATGTTTGTGTTCTACTTATATTTTACATAGATATTTAAACTGAAATGTGCAATATTCTCATTCCTGATTCTGAAGGTACCACATGGAAATTTGTTTTATCTTCTGGATTACACATGTGTGCTTTATGGCAGTGTAGGTAGGAATGCTACACAATATCTTTGCGCCGTGTTGACCCCCTGGATTAAAGTCATATTTATTAAAATGAAACATACACAATGTAACCACAGTGTATATCTCATATTATTATATTTTTAATGTATTACATGTATTTTAATTCCTATCGGAAGCAGGGACTGATCCAGGGACACTCACCCCTTTGAACCCGTAAACAACATTGACAAATGCCGAATCACGAACATAACAACATCTACTCTATAATACACATACTAAGGCTCTATCGGAATTCTATACACCCCTTTAGCAAGCTCACTTGACCTACGTTTCAGGGTCAAACCAACAACAACAAAAGATTTATTTAGTTGCCATTGAGGTAACGACGCTTTTAATGTCCCTTTATGAAAGCCATATTCTATATGAAGGCAAGGGTGTGCCTGGATACTCGTTTGTTTAGAGATAAGCTATATTGTTATAAATTATAAACATATGGTATGAAATGATGAGCTGACAAAAACGTATTTAAGTCATAAACTAAGTTGACTGAGTTGGTTTGCGGTTCCAGCAAGGTTATAATATAATGCAATCTGCACGCTAAACGTAGAGTAGACGTCCGAGTTGTTGGAATCATAGGATTCGAACTTGCATAAAAGTCGTCGTATGAGTGAAGTTTATGGTTTATGCAGGTTGCACATATTTGCATCCTTAAAAGGATCTAGTCTGGACCACAGAAAGTGATGATCGAAGCACATGTAGCACATAGGTGTTTCTTTAGGCTAGTTACTTTGTTGGAAATGCGCCTCTGTTCACCCAGCAGTGAATGGGTACCCGGTAGGGTGAGGTGGTGGCTGTTAACCTTCCTTGTAGGCAGCTTGTTTGCATACTCCCCATGGAGCTGAGAGTGAAAATCGAGTGCACACTGATTCATCGGCCCTAGTAATAATGTAACGCTTTGAACATGTTGTAGGTATACATGTACACACTATTATAAATATGCACATTATTATGTTAATCGATAGTGTCGACAACGCGTTTTGCCTTCAGCTTACAAGGTTAGTTTGTAACTTGTAGAAGGTTACACACCCTGACTTGTGTTGTTTAGCGTGATGCTTTAGGCTTGGGTAATATCGTGTGATGCTTAGGTAATATCATGTGATGGTTGGGTAATATCATGTGAGGCATCTTCCCGAGGCAAGGGAGTTAACTGACTATAAAAGTCCAGTTTCTACCCTTGCCGAACTAGGCTGGAAAATCTGGGCTCGATCGTAGCGCCACCAGTGGCTATTACGAGTTATTTCACTTCTATGTCCCTCCTATTGACCAATCAGATTCCACCTCTCATATCACTTGCATTTGTTTCAAACAATATGGCGGCCACCAGTCAAGACAATCTGATCGATAATCAAAATCTATATTGTAAAAAAGGGTCTTACTTTGGTGTGCATCAAATCACATGAGCACCCTGATTTAAAAACATGAAACAATTTGGAAAATATCTGCTGACGCCTTGCGTTTGCTTTGCAAATCCTACAACCTGCACGGCAGTTAACGAACCAGATGTCGATTTCGTTACGCGATTTGATTGGACTATGCTTAGAGTCGTTAGTCCGACCAAACAATAACTAAAAATTCCAGCCTAGTTCGGCAAGGGCGGAGACTGGACCGTTAAGTCAGCGTCTCCGTTACTTTGAGAAGATGCGACGAACGTGACGCTTAAACCGCTTTGTGAATCTTAATCACGACTTCAGCAAGAACCCGCCCCTGTTTACTGAAAGCTTCCATTGGATTCAATGAATGTAACAACAGGAGTTAAGTGAACCTTTCTTCAGAAGATGATTTTGCACCAGCCGATCTCCCTGTAACCTCGTCTCATTGGGTTTGGACAAGAGACCAAATAATCAGCGTGTTCTTTATAACATAATGCATACAATGTGTTTGTGATTCGCTGACTGTATTCTTTGTGTGTGTTGGTTTTCAAAATATGAGTGAGTGAGTGAGTGAGTACAGTTTTACGCCGCTTTTAGCAATATTCCAGCAATATCACGGCGGGGGACACCAGAAATGGGCTTCACACATTGTACCCATGACGGGAATCGAACCCGGGTCTTCGGCGTGACGAGCGAACCACTAGGCTACCCGACCGCCCCTTTGAAAATATGAACTTTTTTATAATGTGTATATGTTTGGAAAGTTAACAATTTT